TTTCAGATGGCTTGATATTTCGGTTTCTTTATTTGACATTTCCTTTTCTTTGTTCCATCATTCGGATTCTTACGAATTGATATTTTTGATAAATCTATTTTTAGTTTTTTTTTTTAATTTGTAATACGAATGCATTAATAATATTTTGTTTACGGGCGTAAACCCTTTGGTATCTAATGCACGATGCAAATGAAGATAAGATCGTCTAAAGTAGCTAAAATAGAAATTCCGAGAGAAGGCAAAGATCTGTGAGAAAAATCTAACGAAAACGAGCGTAAACTATTTGTGCACTCTGATTTGAAATAAGAATATTATTTATTTCGTCGAATTTGATGTAGGAGTAAAAGATTTAAATACACATCGTACATTGTGTGATAGAAAAGTATCACATATTGCCTGCAAGTGTTCCCCACATTTAAAGCGTTAAGATCGAACGATAAATGGATAAATCGTGTCAAGTGCATCCTGCGCATCTCAAAGCAAAACAGTTATTAATTTTTAATTTATCGACTGTAACTTGAACTCTTGTCCGGAAATTGATTTTCTCCTTCACGGATCCTTAATCATTTCTGAAATCGCACGGCAATAACAGGTCATTAGAACGACGTATGGAAGTCGATACGTGTACTTAATGCCGGCGTTATTGAAGAGGGAGGGGGTTCGAAACGTATCCAATAAAGTCGATTTCACGCGCGATTCTTCGTATCGGATGCGCGCAACAATAACTGCGACACACGCATACACGATCGTGTCCCCGTTTGAAAACGGTGTTGGTAAAGAGGCGACGACGATGGAAAATATACACGTACACATACGCGCGCACACATCACCATAGAGGCGTCGCTGTTATGGGATAAGAGACATAAGTCCGTGGCGTCATATGCTTATAACTGCCCCCTATCAGAATAATATTATTACTCTCGGCCACCCCACGATTATCCTTGTGACGCGAGGCGTTTACTCCTCGCCTCGTCCCTCTTTCCACGACTATCCTGGAAAATTGTTATGTTACGCGAGAAACGTGTCGAATCGAAGGCTATTTTATTCGGTATCTACTCTAAGCATCCTTCTCACCATATCTACCCTCCCCCCCCTCTCTCTCTCTCTCCATCACTTTTTCTTCGAATTTCCAGGGAGAGAATGGAAATATCGGAAGTTTCGCGCGAATCGTCGGATTATCGTCGGCACTTTACATGTTGACGGGAATAATTCTGATCCCCGGTCGTACAACTCATCGGTTGTAGAACTTGCCGCTTAAATATCAATTTGTAAGAGAGGCGGTTGGCGCTTATTAGCATTAGCCTGGGCGAGAGGAGCGCAAAGAAGTTTCGGGCATGACGGCAAGGAAAGTTCAAAGATGCAAATTGGGGTAATATCGCGGAGCCGGCAAGTGTAGGGGACTCGTAGTTTCCTTCTCGTTGACACCCTTCCCCCCCTTCTCCTTTTGGTACATTAATTACGAGATTCATAAAGTCGTGCTATTAACGGTCATCGTCCGCGTAGAGAAGAAACAAGGAAAATATTTTTTCGAAAAGATACCTATTATATTATTAATTTAATCGTGATACGAGATGATCCTCATAAACGTTCAAGCTGCACGATCGAAACG